TGAAACAGACAGTGACTGGAGAACATTTTTTCAGAGAGCCACCTTTAAACAAAGACCTGAAGGGCAGCTACTCGGCATTGTTTGTTGTTTTTATCGTACGTGTACTTATGTTTTCTTGAGTTTGTCAACCCGGTAAACGTGTTCGACCTACAGTTAGTGATTTAGCGAAAAAAACAGTGAAGGAAACTTGTTGATTCTGGAAGTATCTGACTTGGAGATCAGTATGAGCCATGGAAATTTTTCAAGGTAAATTTTGGATTTCTAACACATGGTATTATGGCAAAATGCTTATTGACAGGTAAGAAGTAATTCACATCATCACATGTTGTTGTGTCGTTTTTGTTTTGTGCATTTTTCATAACCAATATTTTAGCAGTTTCAATTATTTTTCTGTCTTCTCATAGACGATAGGTTCAACAATCCTACCATACTTAACTGTATTTTTATGAGATAAAATGGTTATCACATAGCTTCTCTTATTTGTAAAGGAGGTAATAGGGGCATTTGTTGTATTACTGTAAAATACTTTATTTTAGCTGGAATTAATTTTCGCTGATTTTTGACGAGTTGAATGTAAAATATAAGAAAAAAAGGTATATTCGCTGGATTTTATTTTCAATGAATCATTCCTTCAGCGAAAATTAATTCCAAACGAAAATAAAGTATTCTACAGTATTCACTCTGATTCAATGCTGTGGATAATACTACTGGTGGTAACAGGGGTTTTAAAAGACTTACCTGGACAGGGATATCTTGTAGCATATGAAGTACCTCGGAGACAATAATGACCTGCTAGACATGTGTAGATTTCATACTGATATTCACCTGGCCCTTCACAATAATAACCTTGAAAAAATGAGAAAGCTTGAATTATTAACCCAACATGAACAGTATAAAGACAAACCTTGATCATCCAAACAACGATCACTCAAATTATGTATTAGTACCTACAAGAAGTGAAAAATATATATTAATCAATAATAGAGATTTGAAGATATCATCATATAATAAACAAATCTGAGATAGGTCTACCTATAGTGCCTACATGTATAATATCAAAGCAATCAGACTTGCGGTTTTTAACAAGAAGTCAAAAATAGCATTTTTTACCAAAAAATGACAAAAATATTGGCTAAAAGAATTAAAGATATTGTCATGAGATGAGCAAATCTGAAAGAGGTCCATCCAAGATACCTACATTCCATGTATCAAAGCAATTGAGCTGATAGTTTTCACAAAAAAGTTGAAAATGCAATTGTTGACGGACGACGATGGATGAACAGTTCTACTCTATAATGACAGCAGAGCTAACAAATTTATTTTTACCATAAATAGAAGTAGAACACTTGTTGAATGTGTATATCTACAATTGTTTTTATTTGAAACTTCTTTTAGATATCATTATACTTTTCATTACCAACAAAATTAAAACTAAATGTAATATATACATGTATTATACATTATTCATTATTTTTTGTTTGACTGTAATTTTTTAAGAGTTCTTGAACAGTAAGGCCTATCACTTTTCCCTGATGCCTAAAGTACTTACAGTATGCTGGTTTTGCTTATACAGTTATTTATATAACTGCTATATATGATACCGTCCATTATTTAATGTTTAAATAAGTTGCCGTAAATAAAATTGAAGGCAATTTTTGAAAATACCAGT